ATAAAACGAGAAACTATGCAAAGCTGGCTTATGGCATGTCTTTAATTAAAAACGAGAAAGCATATACAGCTGGTTTATGGCATGTCTTCAATTGAAAACGAAAATGCATATACAGTTGGCTTATGGCATGTCTTTAATTGAAAACGAGAAAGCATGCACAGCTGACTTATGGCATGTTTTAAATTAAAACGAGAAGGCATGCATAGCTGGCTTATAACGTGTCTTTAATTGATAACAAAAATGCATGCACAGCTGGCTTATGGCATGTCTGAAATTGCCAAAGATTTCCAAAGTTTTCTTTTATTTGTCTTTGACGTCGAGAATTTCTTTCTCAAAACTGTAATTGTGATTATTTCGGTTGTATTTTAATTATTAATTTTCATTATTTTCATACCAGAAATAAGTGGCAATCAGGTCATTGTACCAACAATTGTACACGTTAGGATACATCTTGGTAAGAAGTGATATCATATCGATGATGTCATAATGCAAATTATCACATCATTCCAGCTTCACAACGAGCACTAATTTTACAAATGCAGACGACTATTGACGTTTTCTAGGAGACATAAAATTAGTACGTCAACGAAATGGTCTTAACGATAAAATTAGAGTCCGACGGAATGACAATTATCTCTTGAATATAATTATTACTGGAGAATACAACCCTAATTAGATAAAAATCAATACACAACACAATTAACAAGGTATCCACAAAAAGATTGATAGTTTTATAATTTAAAGTATTTTTGGCCCTACTATATTATGCCTTGACGAAATGTATCTGCTGAGAAGGCTATGGTATTACGTCGTATTCAAATCTGACGTCTCTTTGGAATCTGTATATCGAGGATTTAGCTTGCTGTCATCAATCTTTACAATCTATTTCAATTGTTCGTCCTTGAACAGGAATAAAAGCAGTGAAAAATATTAAAGAGCTTGGGATGAGCGAGTTTATAAAAAGTTTGAAAATAAAAATACAAAAAACTATTTAAGAAACGTTGGGATGCTCTTGTATGGCAGGCATGACCCACAGAAAGACAAATTTGGGTGTTTATATATAAGATAATGCCAAATACGATTCAGACAGAATATAAAAACAAGACAAGGTGAGATTAGTGTAAATAATCTCTTTTCATCATTGTGTTTGTATTTTACAAGTCATGAATATATGTATATATATGTGGATATATATATATATATATATATATATATATATATATATATATATATATATATATATATATATATATATATATATATATATATATATATATATATATATATATAAAGCACATGTAGACGTGTATGCAAGTCCTTAGTAAGAATATGTAATTAAGAAACAGCATGAACAGAGTATAGTTATCAAAATTCCATGAAAATTGTTTTCTTTTGACCGATGCAATATATACTATTTATTACGATCTTAAAGGTAGATATTATGTTTAAAATTTTCCAAACCATCCTCTTCATCGGTTTAACATTTTTAAAATACGAATAAATGTGAATTTCTATTCCCGTTTGTCTAGAAGCATGTATTGACATATATACATTTTAGAAAATGTTTAAATTTAAGAGCGGTGAAGGGGGTGGGGGTCAATAAGGGTCACATAAGGTCTAATGTTAAATTAGGTCGTTTGCACTATAGAGTCTTCATTTATGGGGTCACGTAGACGTCTATGTTAAATTTGGTCGTTTGCACTATGGGTATAATGGAATTTCAATAATGACCACTCTAGAGTCACGTCACGGTACTGAACACTGGCAACAATGTTGAAAGTGGCTGACCTAAACATGCACTACTCTAGGTAGGAACAAATACGATAGAGACATATACATAGAAACATGTATAAAGACATAAACATAGACAAACATATACGCAAGAAAAATATATATATATTTTTAAGGCAATGGAGCGGCTCTGTAAAGGGCCTTTGTTTTTTTTATCAACACCATTCAGTTAACATAGAGGGCATCGTAAGGATCTTCTTTTCTTCCTCAAACTTCGTCTGGCCTCTGGGCCTTAGATAATAACTCTCTTCAGACTGCCTTGTCTCTTCACGTAGATTATACTATTCCAAAGGTCATCTTGGTGATTGCCCATGTTGATTTGACATACATGTGATAGTCCGGTTGGAACAACATCGACGATACGAAGCAAAACATTTCTACGTTAGACCACATCTTGTGACGAGAACAGGTGAAACGATGAGGTGAAACGTGGTTATTTATAGTGAAAGAGCGGATCGAAACGGATTGAGTTCTTTCACCAGTCCTAACGTGTTACAAAATTCAGTCACAGTGCAGAGTCTGTCTTCTAAGTAGAAGAGAGATGCCTATGACATCACATTCCCTTCATAGGTTCCTATCGTCTGTGCACAGTGAATCAATGCGACAGAGAACATGACAAACTAAGAAGACGATGAATTGTGCTGCACCGGCGATGGAGACAAGAAGTGATGGCATAGCAACGGCTTCCAAAGCAAACACGGTCCAAATCCCAGAAGAGAATGGTTTTAATTGGGATTTAGTGGGTTTTCTCTCTTCTTCGCAAGAATTTGTTTCAGTGCCATTACATTCACGACATCGTCCTTTCTTACCATTCGTCAATGAATTTAAAAATTAATTGGAGGAAATTTTTCGACAGCTGAAAGAAGCAGAATAAACTTTTATCATTCAAGAATAGACAAGAAGAACACGATAGGAAGAAGAAGAAACAGAGAAGAAAAAAGGTTTATGAGAGAAGGAGGACAGTGAAAGTCAAACGGTGACGGTGCTCTTAGACATTCTAGAAGAGTTATGGAATCTGAAACAAATGCATCAGACTTCTTTAACACAACCCAAGAGATAAAGACTTTCCCGAACCAAACAATCCAAACCGCGTCCACACACCTACTACGCCTGGGATACCAACCTTATTGATCTCTATCTAATCATCGATAGTAGCAGGTACATAAGTAGGCTTTGGTCGTAGCAAAGAGATAAGGCAGTTAAAGTTCATTACTTCCCGTTCCTGAGTTGTTTTTGTTTTTAAACAAACACCCACCGGCCCTTTTCAGGGGCCACCCACCTCTTTCCAAAAGAGACTACTCAATGTTTACCAAAATCAGTTACAACTTAAATCCCTTTCTTTGCAACATGATGGACGTGTGTGAATGCGTGAGTGTAAGTCCTTATTATAAAAAAAAACAAGAGGCGCTTACGTGTTTCTTTCTGGTGTATTCTCTAGTACAAATTTGCAATCCAATTCACAACCCATCACTTTAAAAAAACATTCATTTTTCTTCTTATTCTTTCTCTTTTCACTCTCTACTCTTTATGAATTTCTTCACTGTCACAGGTTTTTCCTCTTCTTCTTGCTCACGTTCTTATCGTCTTCTTCTCTTCGCTTTCTTGTCTTTCTGTAAGTGTCTGGGTTCTTCATTTTTGATAGGTGCATCTTCTCCCTGTTTTGAACCCCTTTATTCCTTCTGCTCCTTTTTTGTTCCTTAGGGCAATCTGAACACCAGTGTCCTTTCTCTTGACAATGAAAACAGGTATCTTGACTTTTGTTTCTTTTAATGCCTGTCTTGCTTTGACGTTGTGGACATTCAGAAGACCAATGTTATTTCTTATGACAGATATATTAAGTATCTTGACTTTTATCTCGAATGAGGGGAGTAGTCCCTCGGCTTCGTTAAAGAAAGCCTTCATATGACACCTCACAAAAATCTGATTAGAAGTTCGATCTGTGTTGGCTCTTCCATCTCTCTTGTCGGATTAGATTGAAATGAATACTTTGAGGGAAGACACTGACCTTACAGTGATACATAGGGGACCATCGAGTTTAAAATGTAGTAATTTGACTGTTTTAGAATGAAGATGAAGATGAAACAAGCGCTTCATTTCTTGAGGAAAGGATAAGAAAGTAAGAGGTATAAACGTGACCTATTGCCTCGAATAGCAGCTGAAGTCTTGGTTCAAAATCCATGCCAGCGATTCTGAAGATGACATGAGTGAGCCAGTATCTAGACCTAGAGAGTCTTCGTCAAACTAAAGAGCACTACCATTAACTCCTGAAAAGTACTACTACATTCAAGAGATGAATAAACACTCCTCTAAAAAATTTAGCATCACAGCATACACGAACACGTTGATGATTAATGATTTCAAGTCGGACATACATTTAGAGAAAGCAGAAAATTTCACCGATGTGTGGGATTCTTTGTTAACTACACTGAAACAGTAATGTTGAGATAAAGAAGACGATCACTTGACACCTTTAAATTATCACGACAGTGTGAAAAATCGTCAATTTGGATCGAGTTGAGCATGCCTTCAGAACTGACACCTTTCAAAGTCATAGACAAGATTCAACACGCTCAGCAGTCTAAAGAAAAGTTTTACATCACTATGGAAAAGCGACATTGTACATGGCTCACATTTCTCTTCCCAAAGGGACCGAACAAGCAAAAAAGTATTGGTGGACGACGTTTTCAGTAGCAAGCGCATCATCGTCCAAATTAAGAAGTATCAAGACCTGATGCGTTTAGCGTAGGCAATCTTGGTGGGATGAACGTATGCTGACAATAACGACACGGTAGAATGGAAAACAGACCTTGAAAACTATTCAGGAGTCGGACCAAGCCAAACAACGAAGAGAAGCAGAAGTACTGTTACAGCAAGCAGAGCTATCTAAAGACACACTCTGCGGCATTCCTAGAATGCAAAAATTGCAAGACATCTTGGCTCCACGCTACACTTTGGTGTGGTGTGGTGTGATGTGGTGTTTAAAATTTTTAACGTAGCTTTAACAATTTTTCAGTCATATCGCTACGATGTATGCAGTGTGGCAGTTTATAGTGATGTCTAGCACTGGGACATCATGCCGCAGACATATAGCATGATGTCCCACCCAGTCACATTATCCTGACACCAAGCCGACCAGTTCTAACACTAACCTCTAAATGCTGAGTGTCAAGCGCGGCAGCTGTTAGTACCATTTTTGTAAGTCTTTGGTATCACTCGACCGGGTATCGAACCCACAACCTACCGCATCTGAGGCTGATACTCTAACCACTAGGACACCGGAGCGGTTCGCTACAGCTTTAAAGTGCACCCTCAAAAAGTCCAAGGCCCTCTATTTTTACATGCGCACCGAACAGCGAGAAACTTTCTACACTTGGTACTACACTCGCGCTTTAGACCCCTTCGATTTTCTGGAAGAATTGCTAAAATATTGTCGTTTTATGGCGCTGTTGTGGAAAATTGCGAGAATTATTCATAGAACACGGATTGATCGATCCTTTGAAAAGAGCCTGCACCATCACCAAAGCGTATTATTTAGTGTATCAACAACGATTAATGCCTGAAAACACCCTGGCTGTCTTCCTTCAAACGACGAACTTTGTCAAACGTCAATGCTCGGTCAAAGGCCTACGCTGGCTACATTACTTGTACGATAAGGAAGAAAAATGGATCCAACAAGCCCGGAACGGAGGCGAAAAGATCATCGGAAGGTATTAGGTGGATGGCAGGGACTTAGAAAACCCCAAGAGTGTGTGCGAGTTTAGCGGTTGCTTATTTCATGGATGTCCCATCTGTTACCCAGTGGTGGAAATGTGTAAACACGAGTACGATCACTGTTTGAAAACCGATCCCGAGTTTAAACTTATCGTCGAAAGTTACAAGCTTGTGGATCCTATGAACCAACGGGACAGTTTGTACGGAGGACGGACGAATGCCACGCCGACGAGGACAAAGAAGAAGAAATCAAATTCTTGGCCGTGTATCCTTACATGTGAAAAGTGTGTCACTTTCCTGCAAGTAACCGGCAATTGCTGACAAAACACATCCACCTGGACAACATTTGACAATACGAAGGATTGATTAAATGCAATCTTTTGCCTCCCACGGACTTGTACAATCCCATTTTACCTCACCATTACTAAGGACGACTGATATTTCACTTGTGTTGTACCTATGCCGAAACGTGCAAATAAGAATAACTTTGTCAGCACACACGTTTCACCAATTGTTAGGAGTGTACGAAATTTACCACTTTCCCAAGAGAGAATAGTACAGCAAATGCGACGAGACTCAGAAAGTAATTTTCGCATACTGCGTGTGGATGCCTTTTTGAAACTGAAACAAGAAACCAGCGGCTTATCCTTCCTGGTGCCAGACTCCTGAAGCACAAAATAATTTCAAAGAAATACTTGGAGCAGGAAGGCACCACTTTATAGACCACGTGAAGAGAAAAGAAGTTCGACGATTATTTGCCAAAGTGATGTTAAATTGCTTGTGGAGAAAAATGTTTAACCAAAAGACAGAGTATTTGTCCGATCCTTCCCTCTACTTCCAGAAGATTCACGACAAAACCAAATACATGATACACGTGAACGTCCTTCGTGAAGACATGATCCGAGTTAAATACAAAAAGAACTGGACATTACACAAGCATACAAATTTTAAAATAATATCATTGTGGCTCACGTGAACTGTTAGGAGATCGTGTACTGTATTTTGACACAGACAGTTGCATCTATATCAATTGCCAGGTCACAGGCACCTTGATATCGAAGGAGACAGTTTATGAGCATGGTAGCACACGCAGCCCGACTACAATATTCTAAGTTTTGCTAGTGGCAGTCATTACAATTACCGCTAGTGAGAACCCAAAGGAGCAGTTCACACCAAATGAAATGACTGACTCTCAATTATCGCACCAGTCAAGTGGTGAACTTTGGGGTATTAAAAGAAGCCATGCAACCTGGAGAGGATTAAGAATTTAAAATGACCACATACCAACCTTACAAGATTGTACGATTACCCACATACCAAATCGTCAGATAGCCTTTAGCAAAAGTGAATTCAAATCATGTAAAGGAAGCGAGGGCGACTTCCCAACCACTTAACTTTGCTCTAATGACACACTGCTATAAAAATGGTTCCAAGACGATGGCCAACAGCGAGAAGGATGAATTCGACATAGAAAGAATTGATCGAGGGACCCACTGAGAACCAAAAGTTAAAACAATACAATTTTCCTGTTTTATACTTGACTATTGTGATTGTGTTAGTGCTTTGGAAACGTGTCAAAATGGTCCACGGATACGGAATGATTACCTACTTTTAATGTTTTAGCTAGAACAGCTAGGACGTACACCTGAAGACTTAGCCAGAGCTCAATTTATCTACTTGGGAGAATTTGATAACGTCTAATGCTTCAGTTGCTGTGTATCACTTCTCGAATGGGAATAGAAACATTCCGTTTACTTTGAACATGCTCGATGGTCTCAGCACTGCCACTACCTATCTTTAGTGGGGTGACCGCAGTAATATCTTGATTGATACTTTGCAAGAGAACATTGTGGTTTTCCTGTGGAGTTGAGAGAGTGGATTTCACCTAGAGTTTGTCAAAATACAAGTCAAACGCGAAGAATAATTGCATCCGCTATGTCACCGATATTGGAACCACTGGTACCTAAATGTTATCAGAAGACTGATTAATTTGAAAGCGTTTCAATGGTAAGACATTGTTCAACTGTCCGAGGACCTGAAGACTTTGGTTGCTACTCATCCAACTTTTTATAAGCTAGCCATACTACACAGAATGCCAGAGGAAAAGTTAAAATGGTTTCCAAAATCTTTTAAACGAACAAATCTTGGTTTAAGAGGAAACGTTTGTGCGACGTGAGGTGTGTGAGTTAGTGACTGAAAAGTTTGGTACGGTACTGAAATAAAGCTGCTTTTGTGCAAAAAGTACATTTATTACCTCCGACTAAAAGAGCTACAATAACTGACTACCATGCCACGACATTTCTCATTATTGATAAAACATTTGCCGTAAAAGGAAATCAATGATAGTATTCAGACTGGTGGATTAATAACGCTGTATGAATTCGGGTCATTGTGTGGTGTATATATTAGTGACTTGCCTTCTGGGATTCCGTTTAACAAATGATTCCTTGTGAACTCTGTACGATCTGTACCTCATAGTACCACCAAAATATGATGGTGTTTCCTTGAAATGTACACGAGAAACTCACTTTGTTAAAAACCTTGCACTTTCATTTCAACACGTCTCGACCTTTCTTTGAAGAAAAGTTTCTTTGTGAAGTTTTAGCCTCTCCGGATGCTTACGACGATGTGGGTTCAGCTTGTTGGTTATACTCTAAATGGAAAGATGTAAGTAACTGTAAAAGTCTGGATTTCAAGTCTTGGAAGAAAAAAGTGGCTTATATTGCCCAAGATTTGTATTATGCATTAAAAAACTAAAATGTCCAGTAAAAAATAACCTTTAAACTTGTATAAAACCACCAGGAAAAGTAAGCATGTTAACACCATCAACATTTAGAATTGGTTGGATTAAAAAGATGATGACAAATCCTTCTTCCCCCGAAGAGAAAAGGAAGGAGAAGACATAAGTTAAATGTTCAGACATCCACCTCACCTAACGCCTATTGCACGCAAGGCATTACAATAACAAAAATACTACACGAAAAAAAAACGCAGCATCCTTGAAGAGTGCGTGACTTATTGAATTAAAGGTCATGATGGAGAACGTATTAGCCAGCATTTACTACGATCCAACCTATCTTGCAGGTTACGAAGGAGTTCAGAAATTGTATCCCGCTGACACAATCCGATTCAAAAATGTTTGTTTTACTGTTTACCTCAAGTGCAACAATAGTTACAGAAACAAGCCACGATCAACTTACACAAACCCATTCGATGAAAATATTCCAAAGGTCGCACACTAGTGAAGGGATTAGATCATCAGTATCAAGCCAATTTAGCCGACATCGCTCATTTGGCCACCTACAATCGTGGTTACAAATATTGTTTTGTGTCATTTACTTCATTTCCAAACTTGCATGGGTCGTGCCATTGACTTCAAAATCGAGCACTAAGTTGGTGCGAGCCGTAAAATTTGTTGAAAAATGTGGTCATCACCTTCTTTCATAGCAAACCAACAAATATACCGAATTTCTGAACTAAGCTTTCCAAAAAAATAAAAAAACAAGACATTCAGTTTTTTTTCACCACCGACAATCCTGAAACCAAAGAGTGCGTGACCGTCATCCTGCCGTCTACAAATTGGAAGACATGAACTGGGAAGTGTTAAAAAGAACGTTTTACTTGCCCAAGTTAGAACTCGTGACCAAAAATACGAAGTGTACGATATCGAATGCATTCTCCATCGCGGAACCCTAAAAGTGGTAAAATGTCGTGTCAAAGAAGTCAAAGTACATTGGAAAGGATATACACCGAATTTTGACTCTTTGATCCACGCTTCTCAAGCTATCGACTATAACAAAGTGACCATCGTACCCTTCTTTTGACATACGGAAAAGAAGCCAAAACACCCATATGGATGTCAGCATCGTATGGAAACCGACACAAGGGACAGGTTCGACCCCATATAGAATGAAACTGTGGGATTTATCGACCGTCAAGCAAAATCACGCTGCCCAACGGTAGTTTGAAACTGATGGATCGTTTGCATTTGTACATGAGGTTACAAGAGAAGTATTTGCTGAACTGGATAGATGTTTGCCTGAAACTGAATCTCAGCAGTACCACTTTCCATTTGATAGTTGATGATGATGCCAAATACAAAATAATCCTCCAAGAAGCCCAACTCAATATACGATGCGTGGAAGTGTTACCTAAAATAGAAAATGGCATCAGTTATACTTTGAGCAGAAGGACCGCCAAGTATCCAATACGATGCATGGAAGTGAAAACTTTCAAAAATTCAGAGGGTCAGCGAACCATGATAGAACATTATGTGTTAGATGGACATTTTTCCAAGCGTTTAATTGTTGGTATCGTCGAGAATAAAGCCTTCAACGGAACCTCCGAATAAAAACCTTTCAACTTTCTGAACTTTGGCGTGTCCAAAATCGAAGTCATTTGAGTTAGCAAGACCTTGTGTACCAGGACTTTCGAACCTGCCTTTGACCAGAAGAATTACTTGAGGTCGTACTTGTCCCTGTACGAATCATTAGGACAGTTAGAGACCAACAACAGCCACGGAATTATATACGACGATTACGCAGGAGTTTACGCGTTGTAGGCCTTTGATTT